CAGTAAAAAGGGAACTCCGGGACGATCTGTAGCGAGCTGGTCTGTGGTGGCGAGAGTGAGCTAATGCTTCTGAAAAGGGCTGTTTGGAAGTTTAGAAATGAACACATCCCAAAGGGGAGGCACGTACACTGCACAGCGCTGGCGGCCCTGCATCCTGGGCGCTGCTGGAGTAAACTGTGCTCTTAGGAACCAGCTTTAAGGGGACGCTGTCAGGTTCATCTGGTTACAGCTCTAGCTGTCAATATCAATATCCATCCCACCTGCAGAGATGAGTTAGACAGCAAAGCCAGGGGATACACTGTAGTTACCAGGCAACCTGGTCGGGTCACCTGCACTCTGCCCACAAATTCATTTCCAGCCCATCTAGCGGCTTCGGATAGATGCCATTTCAAATACAAAAAATCAGCCTGGCACAAAAATGGTTTCTTCTTCCCCCCAGATGTGGAGTTGCACCTTCCCTCCCTCAAAACTTCACTGTCCAGTGGGGCAGAACAGGGACTAATCAGTGCAGCACCTGGGACAGATTTAAGGCCCAATGTCCTGAGATCCAGTGAAACTAGAAACAGAAGCTTTATACCATTGGAAAGGGAGAGAGTCCCAGCTTCCCAGTGGGACACACACAGCTCTTGCTCCTACCTCTGGAGATACTGGACTTTAAAGTAGTACATTTATGTACAGCAAAGCTATCTGAGGTAATGGTAGGGTGCTTTATGGCTCCTCCTGAGCCCTGTACATCCGTGTTCATGTGGCCAGATTTTCAAAAGAGCTCAGTTCCTGACTAGGCATCTCAATGAAGTGGCCAGATTTTCAAAAGGGCTCAGCACTCAGTGGCCCCCTCCCATTGTTTTCATTGGGAGCTTTTGGGTGCTGGGCTGTTTTAAAATCGGGACCATACTAACTCAGGCACATACCTACATCGATGGAGGGATGCAAAAAATAGTCCCAATACAAAATGTTAAGCTCCCTACAACATTTTTAAAAAACGTTTTCTGTAAACTATCCAGCATGTGCAGGATGTGTGTTGATGTGGCATAAAGGAGCTTTGGGCACTCATTTGGGATGACCTGCATAAGTTCTTGGTGACCTCGCCTCTCGTGAATAATGGGGTTATTACAAACTGATCCTGAGAAAACTTTTATACGCCACTGCACCATCATGTAGCCTTGCATGTGTTCCTATTGGAAATAATGTTGGAGAACGAATGCACTTTCCACCTTTTCTATTTGCTTGCCTTTTTACACGTGCCTTATCTTGGGCAATGAAAACAGACTAGTGGCAGAAAATCAGAACGTGAAACTGACTAAAAACAAAAATACAACTGACTAGATATTTCAATAAACCAAATGGCAAAAATAAAGAAAAATGCAACCGACTAGCCCTTTCCTGATCCCCTTTCAACTGTTATCAGGCTCTTTTCAGCAAAGGAGAAACTGACTGAGGCACTGATCCTGCAAACACTTCGGCATGTATTCAGGTTTAAGCCTGTGAGCAGTCCCACAGAAATCGAAGTTAAACATGTGCAGGGTTGCAGCCGACCTGTTTGACAGGGAAACCATGAAACCGAGTATAAGCAAAGTGCTGCCAACAGCATAAAGGGAACACAGTGAAAATAGAAAAGAGTGTTCTTTTCCTGCTAACTCCTTTCAGTTCTCTGCAGCTTTGTGTTACTTCTAACCAGAATAGAGCATTTTTAGATAGAAGTGGGATTTTCACGACACTGATGCCCCTTTAATGATTGTGAAGAGCACTGAAATGCTCAGCTGGAAAGTTCTATAAGTATTATCATCATTTATTATTAATAAAGCCATTCTTTTTAACAAAACCTAAATTTCTGACCTGGCAGTGGCCTTTTGGTATGATACAGAAGAGCATGTTGCTATATATTCTGTGCTCTGCTTCTCGGTAACTGGGGTATTTCCTACATATAGAGTCTCTGCACATGTCACACACAAACGCACATACAAACATAGAGCAAAAACCTCATTTTTCACAGATATTTTTTTCTCTCATTGGATGTTTGTGTGTCCTTAAGACATGGAGGGTTAGCAAAGGGATCTGCATTTCTTAGGGAGGTCCTGATCACTATGGGAGTTCCAAATCCTCTGGCGACTAATGGGCAGGATGACGGGAAATGTTTCATTGTGAATTAATGAGCCACCCTGAGAGTTCATTCCCTCTTGGGAAGGAAATGTAGAATTCCACTTGGCAGGGAAGAAGTTTGTCTCCTTGCGGTCACATGGTATGGAAGCCATATGGTTGCTAACGGCAAAGTTGTCTTGAAATGACCTTTGTGGTCCTGCATAAAGGCTGATAATGAAGGCACAAGATGTAAAGACAACAGCTAGCTGTGGGTTCTCCTTGTGGCAAGTGAAGTCCTAGATTAAGAGAGCTTTGCTATTTTCAGTGGTGCTGGGGTATGACTCCTTTGTGAAGGGTTCTTACAGAGGAAGAGATGGCTTACAGTAGTTATGCAATGACTGGAGCAAGGGGGCCCTTTGAAAACAGAGAAGGAAATATGGATCAGAGTAAAATGGATTTTCCTATTAATTCTTTTTCGGGTGGTGGAAGAAGGGGTATTTCCAATGACGAAGGACAAGGTGGGGATTTTTAAAACGGAACCACATCATGGCTTTGGCTCATACCTAGGTCACAACTGGGGTGGAACAATAATAAAAATAACATAAATAGCACTTGTCCTGGCAAGTGGGCAGAGAGGATTCTCTTGCTGGTGCTGCCACCTCCCCTTCAAACAAGGACATAGCAAGCAAGAATTGGAAGAGGCTGAAAGAAAAACAGCCGTGGCCAGCTCTTGTTGCTTTGCCCTTTCTTCTCCACCTCCCAATTCTCAGCCAGACGTGGCTGGAGGGCTGGATGAATGTGTCTTCTGTATGAAATATATCTCCTAAAAATGCAAAGAAAATTACACACTGGGCCTAAAAACAAGGTTTAATGGATTTGGGAAGAGTATTTTTTTAATTATTGTATCAGCTTTAATGAATGTACATGTTGCCCTGCGAGGTACAGCTCACTTCATCGGATGCATTCAGTGCATGCCTTGCTTACAGACAGCCCCCCAACCTGAAGCAAATACTCTCCAGCAACCACATACCACACAACAAAAACACTAACCCAGGAACCTACCCTTGCAACAAAGCCCGTTGCCAATGACCACATATCTATTCAGGGGACACCATCATCGGGCCTTATCACATCAGCTACACTATCAGAGGCTCATACACCTGCACATCTACCAAAGTGATATATGCCATCATGTGCCAGCAATGCCCCTCTGCCATGTACATTGATCAAACTGGACAGTCTCTCGTTACAGTGTGTATGATAACACCCATTGTTTCATGTTCTCTATGTATATAAATCTCCCCATTGTATTTTCCATTGAATGCATCCGATGAAGTGAGCTGTAGCTCACGAAAGCTTATGCTCAAATAAATTTGTTAGTCTCTAAGGTGCCACAAGTACTCCTTTTCTAAATGGCATAATGCATCTCTTCCATCTTATACTTCTTTGATAGGGTGTTTTTGATAATCAGTGCTAGTTTGGGGCTATAGAATAGCAAACTGAAATGTTAGGTGTCCCAACTGCGTTATAGGGTTGTTGCTGTTAGGTTTGTTTCATAATCTGGGAAATTGGTATAACTACTCAGACAGCATATAGTGGGAGCTGTCAATTCTCCTCTCCCAGTAGCACCCTGACAAGTGGCAGGCCCACAGAAAGCTGACTGTATTTCTGATGGCACGGCCTTTACATTGGCTACTGCTCAGGTTGCAAGCCAGCAGAACATGATGATATTTTGCCTCTAGGCACTTCTTAGCATAATGTATCTGAGTTAAGCTTTATCGCTGAGGCAGAGAAGCATTAGCACCATTCCAGAGATGCAGAAACAGAGGCAAAGATGGCTAGATTCAGCTGTAGTGTAAGTGACTTTAGTGGGCTGAATTTGGTCCGCAGGGGTGAAGAGACTTGCCAAAGATCATGCAGAGCTAGGAATAGAACCCAAGGGTTGTGCTGATTCCCCATCCACTGCTGCCCCTATTCAGTTCTGCACTGGGGCTTGGAGTGGCATATTGTTCTGGTTCAATGTGGCCTACTCAACTGCACAAGGGAGCAGCCCGTGCAGGGCTGGAGCCCAACTCGATTGCACTGTGGGATAAGTTAATGGGTCTAATACGCAGGAAAGCCATGGCCTGCAGAGGCTGAAAAATGCTACAGATGTGCACAGTGCCCCCACATGGACTCAAGAAGCTCCCCAGGGCAGTCAACTATCCAGAGGTACCCCTGTGCTGGGCACGAACACAGCCACAAAGTAGCCGCTTGCCTGGCAGAGGAGCAGGAGCATCCTTTGCTCCAAGTCCCCCAAGTTCCCAACAACCCCTAACCCTTTCCAGCCCCCCAAGTTCCCAACAACCCCTAGCCCCTCCAGCCCCCCAAGTTCCCAACAACCCCTAACCCTTTCCAGCCCAACGACCCCAGCCCCTCCAGCCCCCCAAGTTCCCAACAACCCCTAGCCCCTCCAGCCCCCCCAAGTTCCCAACAACCCCTAGCCCCTCCAGCCCCCCCAAGTTCCCAACAACCCCTAACCCTTTCCAGCCCAACAACCCCTAGCCCCTCCAGCCCCCCAAGTTCCCAACAACCCCTAGCCCCTCCAGCCCCCCAAATTCCCAGCCCCCAATTCTCTGCCCTCAAGTTCCCATTATCCCCTCAGCCACCCCCCCGTCCCTGGCCCCCCAAGTTCCCATCAGGCCATGAGACCCCTCCCAACCTACCCAAGGTCCCCTCACCCCGAGCGCCCCCCACCTCTCTCGCCAACCGACCCGTTAAACCTTTGTTCCCCTCTCCCTCGTCCTGACGTCATCGGGTGCCTTCTGGCCCCGCCCCCTACCCATGACGTTTGCCGGCTCCTCTGTTCCGTGCCCCGCCCACCACGCCCGAGTCACCCCTTTCGTGGCCCCACCCCCGAAGCGGCCGTTTCCGGTCCGGGGACGTGGCGTAGGTGATGACGTGCTGGGCCCGCGCCTCCCCGGAAGCGGGCGGCTGAGGGGTCGCGCGGCGGGTTGCGTGCTAGGCGGCGGCGGCGGCGGCGCAGCTCAGCTCCCCTTCTGCAGCCGCTCAGCGGGCCCGGGCCCGAGATGGAGAGCGCGAGCCAGGGTACTGCGCCGGGGCCGCCGCGCCCTGAGGGGAGGGGCGCCCGTTGGGGCAGGAGGACGGGGGCTCGCGGGCTCGGGGGGGGGCCGGCTGCAGCTGGGGCGCCCCTGGCTGAGCTGAGGCGGCGCCTGCTCTCAGGGTTGTAGCGGCTCGGCCGGGTCTCGGTGGGTGAGGGGGACGGGGGGGGGGTGCCATGCCGCCGCCTCCCCTCCCCTCCCCTGCCCGGGTCGGGGTGCCTGGGCGCTGGCTGCTGAGGCCCGGCCTGGCTCCCTACCTGCCGCCCGGGGCGGGGCTGAGCGAGGAAGGGCTGGACGCTCCTGTTCCTGTCGCGGGCGCGTATGAGGGCTGCTCCGCCTGCAGCACGCTGCGCCGATAACCTGGCAGCCACAGTCGTGGTCCCGCTGGAGATGAGCCCCCGCCCCGGGCAGTAATGGTCGGGGGAGAAGGCCTCCCCTGGGGAAGCCCATCCCCCTGCCTGGCTGAGTGAGGGGGTGTCTGATATTACCCTGATTATGTTGTCTGGCATTAGGCAGAAACCCAAGAGATACTATCTAGAAGATACTAGACCGGAAGAATCACGGCTGAACTCTCTGTGGAAGAGGAAATGTCTTAACTTCTACGATTTCTCATATATTAGAAAACTCACCTGGGGCTGGAGCCACCCCTATTTTTAATAGACTGAGAAATGGAGGATGAGGCTATAAACAAATGTATTTGCAATGATAGGAATGAGGGCGTCTGACTCCGTTCTTTGTAGTAATTATGGTTTGATTCTGTCAGTCTGTAGATGCCATGCTGCTCTAGAGAGCACGCTTGCTGGAATGGCTTCAAAGGTTTCTTGCCTCTGCAATGCTAACAGTATCAGCTGCAGTGTAGTGCATGTAGGTCACTAAACCACTAGTTGAGGTCATGACACTTGTTAATTAAATGGAAGCTGAATTGTTGCCTTCCCTTATACACATTCCGTAAATGAGAGATATGCTTCAAGCTGGTTCAGGGGACGTACTGGCACAGATGTTCCCTGCAGGACCGTCTCTCTCTGATGTGGTATAGGTTCCGATGGATTGCCCAGTTTATAATTAACTTCTGATCCAGATCCGATGAAGTGAGCTGTAGCTCACGAAAGCTCATGCTCAAATAAATTGGTTAGTCTCTAAGGTGCCACAAGTACTCCTTTTCTTTTTGCGAATACAGACTAACACGGCTGTTACTCTGGATCCAGATCTTATCACTCCTGTGTAGAGAGATGCACCTTGTTTACCCTGCCTTGTGTAGTAGCAATGCATGTGCTCAGTGATTATTAATGTGTTACTTTAGGCCAAGGAGCTGTTAAAATATTTTTGACAAGTAAATTTTTCTTCTGATACTTCTGAAAGATGCTAAGTCTTTTATTAGATGAGAAGTTTCTCTTCCTCTTTTTCTCCCCTGGACTCCATCTGTATGTACTCTGGACACATCTGCTTGCATAACATGCTTTGCTTGCTAGCAGCTTATTTTTTCCACATTCTGCTTCTTGTCTGTGACAGATATCAACCTTAACTCTCCCAACAAAGGTCTGTTGTCGGATACCATGACAGACGTACCCGTGGATAATACTGCTCGTGCAAGGACCTCTGCACCAGAGGGGCTGACTGAAGCTGAGGAAGAGGAGTTAAGATCTGAGCTTGCCAAGGTAAAATGGTGCTACCATTTCTGTTTAGATTGTGCCTCTATATTTGAGAGAAGTAAAAGAGACAAGTGGTAATTCTATCCGCTGTAAGAAAGCTTAAGGGACACTTCAGCGATGGTGTAATGTTAATCTCTCCTCTGGAATCTAAATCCATCATTTCACTGCTGAAGAATAAAATTAATTGCTAACTTTGTAGACTTTAACAATATGCTTTATTTCATGTTCTCCCTTCTGGTTTTGCTACAGCACTTAGCACCTTTATCAGAGTTTTCCTGACATCAAAGTTACAAGGAAAATGCTTTCCCCCAAACTGAGGCTAAACAAAAAGCCATTTAACGTCAAGCTCCATTTAGAGTGAGAAAACAGGTGGAGTGTGGGGGAGAAACTACCCTTGAATTATGAGGACATGGAGTTCCTTTTAATGTTCCTTCCCATTATAGGCAATGGCTTTGGATCAAAAAGCTTTTAAGATATTGCGGGTTTGCAAATCTACACTCAAATGTGAATGGGCAAATAATGAAGGTGACCTCTTTAACTTGCACCTGAAACAAAACAGGAAGTGAGAGCTACAGCTGTTTTCTTGTAGTTTCTGAACTCACTGTAGAAACCTAGTCTGATTGTTTGACTTGAACGCAATTTCAATAATGCAAAGTAGTCCAGAGGTACTGAGTTGTGGCTTGTTAAGATTTGTTTCCTTCTGCCGCTACTTATTTTCTGACGCTTACAGTTCTGATGCCAAACAGGATTGAAACCAGAAAATAAAGCACAGAAAAAGATGGATCTTAGTTTCTTAATAAAAACAAAGAAACAGAATTATAAAAACAAACCATTTTCCTTGTATGCAGGATTCTGCAGTTTTTCAGGTCTGTTAATAGAATCTACTGTTAACTGATGATCCAGCCCTAGAAAAGGCTTCTGTTACTTTTTTGTGACATTAAGTGGCCCAGTAGGGTTATTTTTCTGGAAATTTTCCTAACTTAACCTCCAATTTTTTTTTACCAGTGGCATACTTAAGTTAAACTGTCTAAAATTTTAAAATCAAATTTAATTGGTGTCTGTGGAATTTAGATTTCTTCTCACATTTTTGTTAGCAGAGTTTCAGTATATAAATATATCAGATTTATATTGAGCGAGCTGTGAAAAATTGCCTATTTTTCCATGTTTAACCACTTAATTAAAAGTTGTGATCAAACTGAATTTCTGTAACACTAAGGCATGCTTCTAACTGGGAACCTGTCCTGTAGGTGGAAGAGGAAATTGGTACCTTACGTCAGGTATTGGCTGCCAAAGAGAGGCACTGTGGAGAGCTGAAGAGAAAACTGGGTTTGACCACTTTTGATGGGCTGAAGCAGAACCTGTCAAAGAGCTGGCATGATGTCCAAGTCTCCAATGCGTAGGTGTTCCCTGTGCCAAAGATTTCAAACATATATATGTATATAACTCTCTGTAAAAAGCAGTTCCTTGCCAGTGAGGTTCCTCTGTGACTTTCTTAGTGGAGAGAGGGTAAAGAAACTCACAATATTTGCTTGTCATAGTAAAATGTGACTGCCAAGCAAAAAGTACCAGAAATCTATCACTTGTGATTATCTGGGAAATGATTTGGGTAAAGCATTTTCTAATGAGTGCATGTCATAGTTCAGAGGCATGATCATTTGGAATGGTCCTGGAGTAAGTATTTTCTTTTTAAACGTTGAAATGCTAACTATTATTCAGTATTTGTAATGTAAACCAGTATGTTGGCTCAATGGGGATCTGTGTTCCATTGGTTAAGCTTAATGTTCTTAATTTCATATTTTAGCAGGGATTGGAATTGGTTTTATAGTGCATATGGCCTAGTGCATGTAATGCTCAGTAGAGCTCACCTGATGACGCACAGAGGTGAAGAGAAACAAACTATAATTGAGTTCTAAATCTCATTGCTACAGCTGCCCCATTTATTTTATGCTAAATGGAATATCACTCCTGTGAGCTCAGGTGAATCATTCCGTAATAGTTTTGCTATTAAAGAACTTGCAGAGATCTCTCCTTTTTTAAACAGAACAGTCTAATCTCTTTACATTTTTATACCTCTTGGAGAGCGTCTCCTGCCGACATAGCGCTGTCCGCATCATCACTTTTGCTGGTTGAATTTATGTTGGTTGGGGTGGGTTTTTTTTGCTTTTTTTCACATCCCTGACCAACAAAAGTGATAGTGTAGACAAAGCCTCACTGTTCAGAGGGAAGGGCACAAGGCATTTCTAATATGTAGAAAACCACAGTTTACTCAATCCCTGCTTCAGGTCACCAATTTTTGAGCCCTATAGCTAGGGCCCCTACCAAATTCACGCTCCATTTTGGTCAATTTCACGGTCAGAGGATTTTAAAAATCGTAAATTTAATGATTTGAGCTATTTAAATACGAAATTTCACTGTGCTGTAATTGTAGGCGTCCTGACCCAAAAAGGAGTTTTGGGAGGCTGCAAGGTCATGAATTTAGTAGGGCCCTACTTACAGCAAACTGCATCCAGGAACAGAATATAGTGAGGCACCTAAACTTCATAAAAAGATGTGAGGTCATGGTTTAGACAGCCTAATGAGTCATTCCGGACTGTCTGTATCCCTGACTGGCACTACTAGTGTTGAGACTGAGATTTTTTCCTATGTCTGGCAGTACGAAGCACATGCAAACGAGGTGAGTTAAGAGCACCACAATTGACTGCCATTAGGAGTATGATCAAGAGGGAAAGGAGGCGTTGCAACCAGAGGAACCCTATCCAATATAAGTGTTCTCATGTTGACTATAACTAGAATCTGAACTGACTGATAATGCCATCATGTGGGGAAGGACTTTCTTGCTCTACATCTTGCTCCCCATTTCTTCTCCCCTCAGTCTCTGATCATTGGCTGGTTTCAGCATGTCACTTAAATCTCAAAAGTGATGACTTATCCTTATGAAAATGTTCCCACTTCAAAATATGATTAATCAGATTTTTTGTTTCTAGTTATACGAAAACATCTGAGAAACTTGGAGAATGGAATGAGAAAGTGACACAGTCTGAACTGTGAGTTCCTCTGGTCATCAGCACCACCTACTTGCTCCTCACGCTATTCTCCAATTTGTACTGCTTCTTGTTCTTTTAGGCATTAAGGGGTTGATTGTATGCTTGGGGCACAGTGAAGTCCTGTTCAAGGCTCTTGCTTATTAACAATGTACCTGACTTTCAACGGCTGCAGAGATGATGGAAGCAAAAGATATTGCTGTCATCTCTTTAGCTGTCTGTTGCCATAGCTGAAGTAAAATTCCAGTCAGTTACCAGGACACACTTTACATAAAATGAAGTATGAAATGTTAAGAATTACTGTTGCCTGTCAGCTAGCCCTTGTTAGGCCAAGTGTGAATGAAGTCCCATGCCGTATCAGAGTGAACATTGCATTTCCTGTTTTAAAGTTAATCTGTACTTTCTCCCCTTCACTCCATAAAAATCATAGCAAACACTTTGGGGACCAGCTGACTGACTCCATTCTTCTGGCCACAAAGGTAGACAAGATAATTGGATGTGTTCAGTCCTAGGCGGAATGAGGGCCAAACAAACTTGGGCATGTATGTGTCAGCTACTGGTAGCCGCTACCATGTTCGTGTGACTTTGACAGTTTACAAATATGGGCCTTTTGTTAATCTGTTGGATGCGAGTATAGGTTAGAATGCTGTGAATTTTAGTTGGTGTGGTGTGGTAGAAATTCAATTACTAGCAGACAGTAGTTCTTACAATGCATTTCTAGTTACTTGGTCATCTGTCTTAGGCATTCATTGATCTTAGTTCTAAAATAATGTAGGTTATGCCATGTAGTAGAACGTCTAGCGATTGAGATCTTGTAAGTTTTTGGATTTATGTAATTTCCTGTTAAAGATGAGGAAATGGAGATAAAAGTTACATGACTTGCACAGGGTCATGCAAGGCAGTATCAGACTGGAAACAGAACTCAAATTCCTGGTTCCTATGCTCTGTGCTATACCATGCTGCAGTGTAGCCGCTATATAGTGCGTGGAGGGGAGGGAGTGATTCCCCATAGGAGGCAAAGTGGCAGACCGTACAACTTTGAACTGGCCTGATATCTTCTGTACTCCTAGCTTAAATCTGTGCAATTTCTGTGCCATCAACAGTTATCTGAATAAAGAGGAAACCTGGGCTTGGATGTTTGCCCACATCTAAAAGAACAAAGTGTTTTATAATTCTTTCCTCTAATAGCCATTCCCTCCCCCCGTCTATCACATGGGAATAGCACTTGTTTCCTTAAACATCTAGAGGCATTAGTTATGTGGAAGGTCCAGGAAGGAGAGCATCTGTCTTGAAAGCTTTGGCACCTTTTCTAATTTCCGTTGTATTTGTAGATATCTTTCAGCCAGCAGCACACTGGAGGACTGGAATGAAAAATTAACCCAATCAGAAGCGTGAGTGTTTTAACGTTTAGTGTAAACCATCTTTCAAAAAAGCACATTGTCACTAACTCTCTGCTCCAAGCTAACAATTTTCTGCTTTGACTAGTCCCATAAAGTTCTACCGACAAAACCCTTTTATGTTTACCCAATAAATCAGAGGTGGGCAAACTACGGCCTACGGGCCCCTCCCCCGCAGCCTCAGCTCACTGCGCTGCTGGCCCAATGCTCTGGGCGGCAGGGCAGCAAGCTCCTGGGGCAGCGTAGCTGCAGAGCCCGGCCTGACCGGGTTCTCTGAGCTGCATGGTGGCATGGCTGTCTCCAGCTGGGCGGCTTGGCTCTAGCGCCACCAGCCACTGGTGCTCGGGGGGGTTGGATAGAGGGCAAGGGAGTTCGGGGTGGGGGGCGGGGGTGGATAGGGGGCGGGGCAGTCAGAGGGTCGGGAATGGGCGTTGAATGGGGGCAGGGCCCCGGGGGGGCAGTCAGGAATGAGAGGAGGGGTTGGATGGGGTAGTGGGAGGCAGTCAGGGGCAGGAAGTCCGGGGGCAGTCAAGGGACAGGGAGTGGTGGATGGGGCAGGAGTCCTGGGGGTGGGCCATCAGGGAACAGGGGAGTTGGATGGGGTAGGAGTCCCGGGGGGGCCATCAGGGGGCGAAAAGGGGGGGGGGTTGGATAGGAGTCGGGGGGCCGGGAGTCATAGCCTCCCCAAACCGGCCCTCCATACAATTTTGGAAACCGGACGTGGCCCTCAGGCCAAAAAGTTTGCCCGCCCCTGCAATCAATACACATTTCATATTCAAGTCACTGATGTAAATCCAACTGTGGTCAGTAGTGACATCTTTACCCTCCAACATCTGTCTGCTGACCTGGGAGAAATGAGTTGATACATTCCAATTTTTGGTGGACGGGATCCGTATCACTCTGACCATCTTCAGAGTTGGCACTGGGTTTGTCAGTCTGACCTGACAAGCCATGGATTGAAGAGACAGACTGAGCTATCTAATACCTAGACATGGTGAGGGGTAGTAATGGGTTGTTGTGATGCAGCATGCACTTTTTCCTATTTGGTGTCTGATCTCAGAATCAATATGGCTTCAGTTTCCAAGGCGTTCAGTACATCATTTTAAGAGCATCGAGTAAATGTTAAAAGCTTACGAACCCCACAGCTATTGTATTCTGTCTGTCAATCTCAAATAGCCCTTTAATCACTCTTCTGATGTTAAGCAATCCCTTCTTTGGGTTGAGGTTCCTCCTTTCCATGCTAATTTTAGGGTGTTAACAGTGCTGCAGTAAAATCTGGGTCTAACCTGTGAGCTTAACTCATATCTCAGCAAATTGTTACATCTCACTCCTCAGGAATCCTAGTAACTACTGTCTTCTAAAGATAAACTTTGCTTAGCTTGCATAATAGCCTTGCTGCCTGTCGTAGTATGGCCAAAATTGCCTGCTTGCACAGTAGCTTGACTGTGGGAGTTCTTACATAATTTGTTTCCTTGGTTGGAGCTGAATATTAAATTAGACTACTTTTTATTTTTTTCTGCTTAGCTGACTGAAGTTTTCTCTGGAGTAAATGCTACCAATATAATATAAAAATTATCCGTAGCCCTCAAACTGCTTATTACATTTTTAATGCAATCTCCATTTGTAATGGACTGTAGCTGAGTAGATTATGAGAGGTAGGTAGGATCTCCTTAATTTTCCAGTTTTGCTTAGATAAAGGCAGATGTAGGTCATGGGTCACTTGTAGCTGAACTCCCTTCTGTACTTCGTGGTATGGAATTCAGTTTCTTTTCTGGTAACTTGAATTATATTAACTGCCAGTGTGTGTGTCAGCGTAAAGGTGGCTTCCTGTCATGGGAGCAAATGGAAGATTTTTTTCATTGTGTAATACAGTGTGGACTGTGTGTGGGGGCGAGAAACATCAGAACTTATCAGAGTGTGGGGTTCTACTTTCCAAGTAGACTGTCCACTTGTATTACAAAATGAGAGTAAACCCTGGCTGTTCTGTTACTTGGTGATATTGAGCACTGTTCTTTAAATGCTAGTTATGACCTAAGTCAGTGAATAACTTTCCCTGGTAGCATTTAATCAGAGTTCAGTCCATGGGTGTGTTCTCCTAGAATAAGAAACTTCCTGTTAGATCTGTTTCCTTGCAGTCATTGATAATAAATGGCAGAAAACGGCAGTAGGAAGCCTGCCTATGTAGCTTGTTCAAGAGCTGTTTGTTTACACCTAAAATAGTTTTTGTATGCCAGTCTTCCTGCTTGGATTGGCACTGCAAAGAATGTTATCTGGCAGTTGGAATGCTAGCAAGCTAGACAATGTTGTTGTCGTGTTGGTCACAGTATATTAGAGAGATAAGGTGACTGAGGTAATATTTTTTTTATAGGACTCACTACTGTTGGTGAGAGACAAGTTTTTGCTTGTCTCTCTCTCCAGCAGAAGTTAGTCCAATTAAAAATATTACCTCATCTGCCTTGTCTCACTCTAGCAAGCTAAACACAAATTTAAAATAAAGTGGGAAGGGATGAAAAGTGATATTCCTAGGGCATTCTGGGAAACAAGTGCAGAATTCCCATTTCCTCAATCTAGGATTAAATAAATGCCAGTAGTCAGATTCAAGAAATACAAGGTTGTTTTTCCTGCCAGGTTTCTTGGGACTCTTCTGCTGTACCACTGCGTGAGCTGCTAGGCAGCATAACTTACAAGCTTCCTGACTGAATTGAAAACAAAGACCTAACCTATGACACTTATAGCACTTTCGAAGAGAAATCCTTTGTGCATTGTTGAGAGGCTTCTCTTAGCTTCCAGTCCTTGATGCAGAGCGTGGTTTGCCATCTAATCAAAGCATGCAATGTGGAGAGAGGGTAGAAGCTGGTGCACTTGTCTAATGTGTACATGAGGTGGGTGGGGGAGATTGCAGAATCATTTAGTCAGATGAGAGAACTGTCAGTGGCAGCTGTAGACGTTCTGTGATTTCTGCTTTCTCTGTCTTTCACACTGGTAGCTGGATGGGAGCAAGCAAGGGGGAGGTGATGCTAGTGGGAGAGGGGAGGATTTTATGGGTCTAGATGTAAGCCTTCGCTGTGTTGAAAAGGGATTTGTCCAAGAGGTATGCAGTTCAAAAGTGCTCTTACATCCTTGATACTCCTGGATACCTATCTGACATATGCAAAACGACCTCCCTTCAGCAGCATATAGCATCAATTTGCAAGTCTGTTTTCAGGATCCATACCTCACTACAGTAGTTCATGCTTTTGGCTAGCAGATAGCAATAATCTGATGTGTTCTCCCTTTTAAGACCATTTGCATTCTGCACTAGCTGTAACTTGCTGCTGCCTAGCAGGGTCAGTTGCACTGAACATATTGGACCAGTTCTTCAATAGTTCTTGCTTTCTGGTCACTTCCAGGTACAATAAAATTTTTACTTTGAAGTCCTGTATAGGTTGAGTCCTGGCTCTTTGAGAGACCTACCTCTCTTTTTGCCTTTGACCTCAGCTGTTAAGAATATCAAGGGCTCTCAAGGTAGTAGTTCCCATATTTAAATAACTGATTGGGGTGGGGAAGGGGGATGACAGTGTACTTATTAAAGGGCCTGCCCTCTCTTCTAGGAATTGCTCCCCTCTCTGCTGATCTGACAGTGCCTGACTTTGACCTGTTTATAGTACAGTGCAAGGCCATCTTTCTCTGGCTTGTGTGAAGTGGGGTGGGGTGTAACTGGGCACATCTACCCTTTGAGCAGGGCTTGTAACTCCCAGCTTGTGACATACCCGTACTAGCTCTGATAATTTTAGCGCACTAGCTTGAAGAGTGTAGCTGCAGCAGGAGGGGCCAGCTGCCCTGAATGTGTGCCTAGCTTCTTGGACACGCCCATACTGGGGATGGGTAGCCCCTTGCACCTCTGTGGTTACGCTCTATTTTTAGTGCTTGAGCTTGTTCAGCGCTAGCACGGGTATTAGGCCCCCAGCTAAAGTGTAGACGTGCCCTTATTTAAGTGAGGATGGAGTTGTCCCTACTGGAGGCAGTCTACTGAAGTCGTTTGTTAAGCTTTATTATGACTAGAGGGTTAACGGTAAAAATGTTCCTGTTCCTAATTACACTCTGTTTTACTCTTGCATTTCTGTCAGCTGGGACAATGGAAACTAATGATGCCTCTAACTTTTGTTAATTGGATCTACTTTCAGATTCCTAATGCTGCAGTGTTGGAAACCCAAACATTGCAGCATTACTTTAAAAAAGGAAGATTACATCTTAAACATGTGGAATGCTCCCAGTGCTCTCAATTTCATAAAAATGAAATATGGGGCCAATTTAAGTTTGTATAATATTGCATATGTGTCCACTGCCATAGTACCGGTCTTCATTAATATGTGCAATCTGCTGTCCCAACCTGTATTGGAGCCTAAGGCCTCTCAATTTATGGGCATTACCGGAGTCCAAAAATTAATGTGTGGTGTGATTCATTTCTTGTCACGGTTCTGTTGGATAGCACTACTGAACAGCGTGACAGCCTGCTCAGGGAAGATGCCCAGTACCCAGGAGGGATGGGCCTGAATTCCTTGTATTCCAAGGAAGTTTTGACTCTGCAGGTCAGGTGTAAATTCATTAGCTGCAACAATGCCCAAAAGCCTGTGTTAAAGCTAACAGCATTCAATACATATCTCTCACCCTTAAATCATATAATTACCACCACTTCTTACAAAACAAATTGTGTTGTGGAGAAGGATCATGAGTGAAGCTGGAAGACTTGGATGTTAGACATCCGATGTCCCGCGGATTTTATGTCTTTGTTGACTGAATTTGGGGGGGCATGAATTTGGCAAATGACTAGATTACACAATATGAATAGTCATTTTTATTGGGACTGGGGGTGAAGAAGTAAAGCTGGTTCATTACTGAGCTTTGTGAAGTACTAGGCATGTGCAGTAACTAGTGTAGTTGAGTCAAGAGGCCTGTTCATGTTACAGAATGTGGGTTGTTGGGCTTAAAAAAGCATAGTTTAAGAGGACTTCTTGGAATCTGGCTCAAAGTGCCACTGTGTTCTCACTCCCATCTGGAGAATGAGTGAGAGAGAGAGAGAAATAACTGTCAGCCTAAATTGTCTACTTGAACTTGTTGCTTCTTGCTTTGGTATTTGAGGGTTGAGAGAGTTGTGGGTGACTCTTACACGTCCTGTTCCAAAATACTCTAGCACAGTTTATGTAAGAAGGATAACTTCAGGCTTAAATATTCAGGAGCCAGAAAACCCAGATTTAATTTACCCCAAATTTAATATTCTCTTGTTGGTGTATGTAGCTGACTTTTTTCTCTCTCACAAGTTGAAGGTGTTGTAGATCTAGATGCTAATTGCCAACCCAAGAGTAACTTGGATAGGATGCAGTTGTGCAAGTGGCTTAGCATGTATTTGTTCACCTGTGGTCCCAGAGCATGGCTTGAAATAGGAAGGCTCTGAAGTGCCTCTTCTCTTAACCCCTCTTATGAACTTTTCAAATATGTATAAAATCAAACTGATGTAAAGCTGTCCAAGACTTCTCATTTACCTGTGGTTAAAGGTAACTGACTGGAAACTTTTCTAGCTATTGGTTCTAAGCTGCAATTGCAAAGGTGATGCTCATTCTTGCAATTCTTATCTATTTTGTAACATGTCGGTATTACCAGTTTCTTCTTCCATAATGAATTCTGCAACAAAAATGCTTTCTCTTCACTCAGGGCTGAAAGTTTATTTATGAGAACAATTTACTTAATACTGAAGGGGGCAGTTTTTTTCCTTAAAAGGAGAAAAGGAAGAATGGGGAGCTATAAGCATTTTAAAAAATCCCAAACTGGAAATTTCAAAATGTTCACTGAAATATCCGATGTTAATCAGATTTAATGGTTAGCGAGAAACTAAAATATCAACATCGTAAAAAATATAGAGTAAATATGAAGAAATAAATTAAATCTACTTGCATTTTCTTGCTAAGATTCAAAGCCGTAAGTACGTATGAGACCAGAAGAGTAGCTTTCAGCCATGTCAGTGCAACTTGCTAACCTAGTGCCCCGCTCTCTTTGCCTCGGCATCTTTTCCAAAATGCTGGCAGGTGCTGCTCACATTGCTGCTTGTAATATTTCCCCCACTAACCTTCAGTTGTTCAACTTCTTTCTGCTTAGTTATAAGAAGACTCAGGAAACCCTGTCCCAGGCAGGACAGAAGACTTCAGCTGCCCTTTCCAATGTGGGCTCTGTTATCAGCCGTAAACTTGGTGACATGAGGTAAGAGCTCTGTTCCACTTTCGCTATAGCACTGGAGTCCAGGATTAACACAACGTTGAGGTTTAAAAATCTGGAATGCATGCCTAGTTTTTTTTCCATTTTCAGTTCTGTGCACTGCAGTTAATGGCAAAATTAATCTGATACAGCTGTTCCCTGTGACCCGGTATATATCGCTCAGGGTTTAATACATATTTTTCTAAGCTATTTCTGGTCAGAGCTTCATTCTCAGGAATCCTTTCTTTATCGCTTTCCCCAGCAGTGTTCTGAGAGGTCTGTCTTTGGTAACACTTATCGCTTTAATTTTCAGCAGTTCCCAGAACATTTAAATATCTGATTCTCTTGTTCCACAAACTGATAAAATATTGTAGTCTCCCCCATACCGGGAAGAAGTACCATATTGTTCCATTGCAGCTCATTCATCCTCTTCGAATAGTGGTGTTGAAAAGATTTGAGGGGAGACCTTTCTGTTCTTCTGCAGGAAAATGGAACTCCATTTTCTCACTTCTTATGCTGGCGTTAAAATAGAGTCTAGCTCTTTGGCTCCATCAGAGATGTAGAGAACCTCAAGATGGAGAAAAGTGGACGAAAATAATATGCGTCAGTTCTCTGATGTATGGAAAATTAAAATTCCTTGCTGATGGGCGCAACTACCTAGCACAGTGGGGAATGGGTATTGGGAGTAGGGGGGGTTTAATAAGGGAAGTGACTCAGTCCAGATGTTTGTTACTAATATGGACTAGAACTTTTCCTTTCCATGTTCAGTAACTACAGAGGTTTATAAACCCACTAATTTGGTGAAAGGGAACAGGAGGAATTGTTTAAAGATCTAAATTAATGTCACTTACCCAAAATTCTCACATCTTTAGATGTAAAAGCTAATATTAAATTATTGCATAAGTTTTAGACACTTGTATTAGCTACTGTACCAGGAAGGCTGCTAATGTCTCACCGTGTAGCCGAGGAGGTAGCTCCCTGGGACAGCAGAAGGTGGCTTTAGAAACTATGGATAAGCCAGTGTTCATATTAGCCATTGGAGCACAAAACCAATTGTATTTCAGTTGTCTTTCACTTAGATATGGGGGATATTTAACCTCATAAATATCTCTAATGACTTGAGGTTGCTATAAACAATGAAATAATGCAAGTTAGGAAATGAGGCATTCCCAGGCATTCATGTGCGATCAACTCAGGATTTCAGTAAGTGCCATCTAGTATTGGTTTGACCTGATTTTGAGGGCAGGAAGTATCAGTCAATAAAACACCTATCTCAAAGGGATACTGACAAAGTAATTTAATTTCTTTATGAATTCCTTCAACTGAGCTATGAAACTCTGGTGATTCACTTTCTGCTGAATCTTTTCTAACATTTCACTTGGCTTGGATGGCTAAACTAGTCAGTTTCTAGTTCTCTTGTACTAGCCCAGTGCTTTTTGCATTCGTAGCTATGCAAAGGGAAGTTCCAAGTTAACAGTCTTCACTGAACTAAGAGAATTCCTAGGTAACTTAAGTTGACAATATCTCTAACTCAGATGCATCAAAGAGGTACTGTTCAAATCTGTATAAGGTTTAGCCTTCCCTTCAGGTTCAAGGTCAGCTTAGAACTAGGGTTCAGACTGGTTTTAAAAAAAACTCTTTAGATTTTAGCCACACTTTAACTGAAAAATTATCTGTTTGGCTTTAGGTGCAGTGCTTGCTCTGATTTAAGTGCCCATATTGCACCCATCAGTATGGTGTCTAACAGGGAAACCAAGCCATAAGGGCAGATTTGAGTCAGTGGTTCAAGTGGAAATAATTCAAAGGTCTTCAGATGAACAACTGCAGTTTTAGCTCATCTCTAAATATTATTATTGCCTGTGCTTGAGTATTAGTTGCCTCGGTCTTGCAAGGCTGATTACTAAATGTGATCATGTTTAGTCCTTGTGGCACCTTAGAGACTAAAAAATTTATTTGAGCATAAGCTTTTGTGAGCTACAGCTCACTTCATCGGATGCTGAATGCTGTAGCTCACGAAAGCTTATGCTCAAATAAATTTGTTAGTCTCTAAGGTGTGCCACAAGTACTCCTTTTCTTTTTGCGAATACAGACTAACACGGCTGCTGCTCTGAAACCTGTCATATGTAGTCCAGAACCTTCATGCAAAACTAGTATCTAGTAATTGTAGAGTGTAATCCCCTCCGGGGGGGATGGGGGAAAAGAGTCTCGGGATGACTTCAGCCATTGCTCTTAAACTCTGTTACATGTGTATTAGTCCTAAGGGAGTTACATGGTGTGTTTTTTGTAAAGCTGTACTTTGCATACAGGGTCAGTGCAAAAGCATTGTGATCAAAGTGTTTGCACTAAGGTGTTAGAACAGCAGAAACCCACTTACTCCATTCTGTGCCAGAACTGTCTTGCATGGGCCAAACATAATGGGGAAAGATGATGTTAGAAGTCTTCCAGACAGTTAATGACAGAGTACAGAAAAGATACCTTGTAAAATACAGTATTTAACTTTCTCTCTAGAGTTTTTTTTGCAGGATATCAACTCTTCCCTGGACTCTGCATACACAGCTGCCTAGTTTATTAGAATAACTTTTTTGGTTCAAAAATAAAACTGTCTTTAAACATGACATTTGACAAAATTCAGATTGGGCAGTTGCTTCATCACAGTTCTCATTCTTCACAGAGATTGTCCTTTTCCTCTGTGGCTGGGAGTACCCAGGTGGTAAGCACTTGATGTAATCTCTGATCATAGTACTGGATATTCCAAATTTACTCTCACTGAGTTGTACATGGCATTTCTGGACTAGCAGATATTGGTGCACATCTTCAGTAGCACCCAGCTTGTGTGAATTGGGCAGAGAACTAGTCCAGTTTCTAACCTTTCTAGTGTACATTTGACTCCTCTTTCCTACTAATGACACCGCAATTTGTATAACTTTTTTTTCTCCCATTTATTTTAATGCTGTAGCAGACTGAAATGGGCAAAATGTGGTTCCTTTTGCCAGTGTCATAAGTGCATAATAAATGTGGGGGTCTACCTACCAAACGTGGTAGCTGTGGCAGAAGTGTGTGAATTCTGTCCCCTCCAAGCACAATCCCTTCACAGTCTGATTAGGAGCATTTGTGCTACCACGAACCTGGCATGACTAAAGCGTGCACAAATATTATTTGTTCAGCAGTGTGAACTTGTTAGTTCTCTATTTAACTCTATAACCTTACGTTTCCTAGAGCAATGCCAGTGGCCCCATCAGAAGCCATAGGCTGCGTAGTATGAGTTCAGCAAGAAAAAGTGAATAGAAAAAGGCACACGTTCATTGTAATTTACATTAAAGAAACTCCTGAATTTCCTGTCTAAACATGCAGCACTAAGGTTGTGGAAACACCCTACATTAGTGCCATTAGCACTTCCTTCTTGGAAGACAAAGTGGTGGGTCTGTGGGCAGCTTCTCTGTCAGAAATATGTAACATCAGTCAAAGCATTACCAAATAACTCAGCAGGGTTTGCTGTGGATTTATGGCCCTATAGTGGAAAATAGATGAAAGTAACCTTTGCTTCTTTCCTGTGAAGATTTAATAACACTTCTTCCAGTCTTCCTCTGTTGTGTGTGTACACCTATATTGCTCTCTGTCTGTACTTCTCTGCTGTCTTCAGGGAAAAAAATACGGTCCTGAGACTTTCAACACAGATTCAATTGATATTTTTTTTTTTTTTTTTTGGAGCAAAGTCTTCAGTAGCAATGTTCCCTTGAAATAGAACTGTAAACTGTTGGTAGTCGAAACGTGATCAGAGATTACAGTGAGTGAGGTTGGTTTCTTGTAGTGAGCAGTTTTCCTCTGAATGGGTGAGATGTTACTTGTTTTCAGTGAATCTCGGTGCTAGCCTTTAACTGTAATTGCTTGTTAGAATTCTCCTGGGGCTTTATCTCTGATTGTCCCTTCATCCTGCATTTGCTATAAGAAAAGGATCCAGACATTTATTTTCCCATCTGCTGGAAGGATTGAGGTAACGGAAAGGGACACTGCAGACTGTTTGTCAGCCTTCGTTAGCTACTGAAAAATGCTAGAAGGGGGTAATGACAACATAAATGTGCAGAACGCTTGGTCACAATTCCCTTGTATAAAACGTTGCCACTATAGAATCAAAATAACTTGTGTTGGGAGACATCTTCAGTACATCAGTTAGTTGCCATGCATTGCTGGATTGTCTGAAATCTAATAGCTTTAGAATTCATCATGTTCAATAGTTAACCTGTGGTACTTGAAGTTGTCTATGTATAAGAGGACCGATGTTGCTAGTTACTCTATTACATCTTCCCCAGCCGCCTAATCTCTGAGACTAGTCCATATGGGGGCTAGCTTAACTAATGGGAATGGGTGTTCTGCAAGTAGTGTACAGCATTGCTATTAAAGCTACAAAAGTCTTAGCCAGTTTAGCTTTCTCTGTTATCTCTGCATTCTCTGTTGATGCAGGTCTCAGGCATTCTTACCTTACAGCATTTTACTGTAGTGTATAATTTCAGTAAACTAATCTTAAGGGAATGCCATCTTCCTCATTAGAGAGGATAATTTTCAGAATGTATATTTTCTAATATACATTTCATTTCAATGTTTGAAGGAGTCTGCTACTGTAACTACTACTACAAGCATACTGATTGTTAAATATTATTTTGAGCTGATGATTGGCTGCAGGACAGCTCCTGAATTTATGTAATCTGGAGACATTTTATCAAAGAAGGAAAAGGGCTACAAAAAGCACAAATAGATCTTCAAAAGTTCCGTTTTAGGTGCTAAATAGGCTGAGCTGTGCTTGTGGTAATACATACGATGTTGGGAGTGGTGCATGTTTGTGTATATTGTCCAAGCTGTTAATCTTTTTACAGGAACGAGTTGTAGAAACTCTGACTTTCAAACATACCAATGTTTTGGCTTTGCCTCTGGCTCTAGCTGTTGAAGAGATGGCCTTAATATATGTTGGGGGCAAAACCACAAAGCATGACTAACTTCTTGGGCTTTGGTGTAATCAGAGCCCCTTGTTCTCCATGGAAAGTTTTTGTCTGAAGTGTGTGGCGAGACTGCACTGGCTGCAAAGGATGAAGCTCTGACAGCTACGTTTAAATAATATAAAATGGAAAGAGAAATCAGAGTAGCTGCAGTGGTGTTTCTTTGTAAATTCATTTTACGCCATCTCCATGTTCTCATCATGCCTTAGACTCTTTTGTATTGGCAACATGTAACCATTGTAGAAGCTGTCACGGGCCTGGATAGGATAGTTTAGTCTTGGGGGGTGGAGTAGTTGTGACTTGGCACCCAAGAATGGGTGGAAGGCAGTTTGGGATTGTGGCATAAATTATAGTAAGGATGAACAGTTCTTGTTGTTATGCCCTCACCAGCCATGTCTGCAGACTCAGAAAGAAAACAGTGCCCTGGCTTTCATTTGTTTCCTGTAAGGAGTATTCACAACAGCAAGGCTAGCAAAGCTTTTTAAATGAAAGCTTAGGGTGTGGCCACTGTAGGGGGTAGAGGTGGGTTTTCCATTGTTTGCTAACCCTTGGTAAAATCCAAGTGTTGACAACTTGTGGATTTAAAACCTTTTTTTCTAATGAAGACAAGGCTTGAGTGTGTGAACACAGCTCTGTGGCAGGGGCTAGATTCAGTAGTGCTGGAATATGCAGTGATCTGGCTGTAACTTCTTACTGCAGACAGTACCAGTATTGATCTTTGCAAAACTTCATACCTCAGTTCACATAATATAAGATCATAGGGTAAGAAATACGTCTTGGGCAGCTTTTCTTAATCCCTCTTGAGGCAAATTTTGTTGTAGATAGGTGGGCTTTCTGTCTAAGGCATTTGTATGCAAGATTTATGGGCAGCTATGTGGGGCAGTCAGCTGGACACGGGGGCCTAACTAACATTTCACTTTTCTCTCCTGCTGCTGCCGATGGGTTCTTCCAGGGCTCATCCCTTCTCGCATTCCTTTAGGTAAGGTGCTTTCCAGGGGTGCTAAAAGAGGAGGCTTATTTATTTTTTTTGCTAATCTTTCCAGGGGGCACTGCAGACTTAGAGCTGACCTGTGGGGCCATCTGCACTGGTAATACAGATGAGTTAGGGAACTTGGTTGCAACAGATGCCCCTGGACTGGCTTTACAATGAGATTGCCATTGGTAGAGGGTTGAACATAAATAATTGCAGTGCTGTAATTGAGTCCCTTGACTTGGTCATATTTGTAGTGTAGATGGGGCTGTAGGCAGTTTACAGCAGCTTTTTTATTTGAAAGCTGACAGCTCAGTGCGGTTCCATTCTCAGGCTCGCTGCATACGTCTTGTACTTCTCGCTGCTGTTCCTAAATTCTGGGAATATCCTGCCTCTTAAAATTAAACTCTGAGTAACAGAGTAACTTGGTGCAAGAAAGCCAGTCATAGACCCTGTCAGCTCTTTTTTTGTGTGGTGCCTATGCAACATCTCTTCTCTCTCAAATAAAAATAATCTAGTCCTGGATCTTGGGCCAGATGCCTTTTCTGGATATTCTTGGGCATAGTGTGGTGTTTAAAAAGCTTTTCCTAAATTAAACTTTTTTCTGTGGGAGGTTTGGCTCTTTGTACTGACATAAGCAAATCTGTCAGCCGTTGAAGCATAAAGCCTCTAAACACCATTCACTCTGTCCATATCTTGCATTCTTGAGTTAGAGATATTCAGGCTAACTAGTCTATAATTACAAAACTAGTTTGGACTACAGTGTGTCAAAGGGCAGGAGAGAGGGGCTTTTGTGGGTTACTTCTATTGCCTCAGCTATTTGCAGCAGCCTTAATGTTGTTGGGTACAGTATGTGTCTGGAAATTGTGCAAGACCTAACCTCATATGCTCCCAATGTCTGTTTGAATTGTCTAACTCTTCCTTCTCCACTTTTAATGCTTCCGAGTAGCAGTTATTCCATTCGCCATTCGATAAGTATGCCAGCGATGAGGTAACGTACAAAATGTCTATAAAAGTGGGATGAGTGGGAGACGTAGTTAATTCCAACCCACTTCTAGGGCCTTTAAATTCAACTTTCATTTTGTGTATTGGGACTGTTTCCTTCAGTTGACCTCTAATGTGCACTGTGGGGTAATGTCTCCTGCAGCCCCTCTAGTTCAGGGCTTTGAGGCCTGTTGCATAGGTTTATTAGTGGCTGTTAGACTCTCTCTTAATGAGGAGTCAAGTGAAGTGTTGTAACCCTGCCAAAACTCAAATTGCAATTTTATGGCTTTCAAAGGTCCCTAAAGAGAATTATGATCCTTTTTTTAGAATTTCAATACAGTTGTAACTAGTAGTGCAGATGACATCTCTCTGATCTCCCGCTGTATCCCTGGTTTACAAGCTAATGGTCCAGCATGCCAAAATACCCTGACTTTTGCAGTAGAACAATGTCTTCCTTATGTGGTAAAATCATAAAAGTATAGAGCTGGAAGGGACCTCAAAAGGTCACCTAGTCCATCCCTCTGTGCTAAGACAGGACCAGGTGTATGTACACCATCACTGACAAGTGTTTGCTCACCTGTTAAAAACCCCCAATGCAAGAGATTTCACAACCTCCCCATGTAACCTCTTCCAAAATTTAACTACCCTTATGATCACTAGCTACTGAAGAAATTACAAACTGATTAAAAAGCCTGGTTTCTCTTGACAATAAAATGTTTAATTGGAAGCTCTGGTTTTAACATGTAAGAAAAATGTTCCCTTAGTGCCTCCTTTGCATGAGTTTACTTTTGTTTGGGACAATATAATTTCCCTGAACAGAAATGTGCCTTTGTGTTTTCATCTTCATAGGAGTTAGCAATACAAATCCTTTCCACTCTTAAGTAATCTCCACAAAGTTGAGAAGCTTAATCCTGTATCTTACAAGTCAAAACTATCCTTAAAGCTGCTCATTTTCTAGTAAAAACTTTAGCTAAATTTCAGAATTTAGCAGAATCTGGTATAAACTGTAATCTCCATTCCCACACATGGGGATGAATGAACTGTATGATGGGAGTAGAGCTGGGCAAAGAGTGCAGACCCTTTTCACTTGTTCAGGTTCTTAGATGAATTTTGCTTTGGTTGTACTCGCACCTTTTGCATTTCTGGCATACTAAAGCAGGTAAGTTTGTTGCATGGGTGCAAATATTCAAAATGAGTCTTGTATGCAATGTCTAGGAACAGAAACTGAATTCTGTTCTCGTGAATGTTCTTGCTAGAAGAGCTTGTGCACTGCAGTCCATCGCGGGAACAACTCCCCATGATATATGTGCTAAATAATAACTCTTCAATACAGACTACTACTCCTGAAACATTTGTGATCGTTCTGTAAGCAGAAAGGGTACATTTATCAAACAGTGAATTAAAATTATTTGCTTACCTCTAAGGTTCAGTTCTCATACCAAAGGACACAAATCTCTCCCGCTGACATAAGTGACTACTTCTGTCATGTGGTCAGAGAATAGAGTCCCGTGTATTCTTGTTGGGTTATAACTCTCAATGTTCCGTTAATCTCTTTTGCTCCGGAGAAGCCCTTCCTTTTCAGCTTAATAGTAGGTAATGTAGAAAGCTGAAAGACTTTTTTTCAAGCCTGTCTAAAATGTTCAGCTTCCCCTTTGGACTAAAAACATGGCTTTCTTACATAAACGAGAAACCACTCCTTTGTCTATGAGGCTTTCCCCTCTTACCTAATCTGTAATCCGTTGACTCATAATGGAACTCAGCCTGTCTTTTAGGTTTTTAGCTTGAGTGGCCTTTATTCAAACAATGTGGTATAAATATCTGCCTTCCAGACCTTGCTGTATGCCAAGTATAGCATGTCTAATGCAGTTGGCTAGTTAGAGATAGTGAACCCTAACTTGCAGGAAGATGGCAAGATGACTGGAGTGATAACTGCCTTAGGTGTGTTGTGGGTGGTGGTGCTCTTGCATTTGAATGGCTAAGGAACTTTCACAGGCTTGATATTCTCAGCCTGCTCAATTCAAACTAAAAACCAGTTGCTCCAGTAGCTTACCCCTTTTGACTTTACATTGCCTTTTTTCCTTCAAGGAACTCTACGACCTTCAAGTCATTTGAAGACCGAGTTGGAACCATAAAGGTAACTGTCTGTTCTCCTGTTGCTAAACTCCCATGATAAGCAAATCCCCATGCAAGACAGTCTGTGTGAAACTAGCTTAAAACTGTCAAAGGGGCTCTAGTGCTTACAGAGAACTTCCGGGGTAAATGGCACTTTGGGGCCCCTGTTCTTAAGGGTGTGCAGTCTCTAAGGCTAACAATTGGTAATAGATTATGGGGCGAGAATAACTTTACTGTATGTCAGTACACCCCTTGGAGAAGTGCTAACTGTCTGCACCAGCAGGAGAGTGAATTTGTGTGGAAGGGGTGGAGGGTGAGAGAACCTGGATTTGTGCTGGAAATGGCCCACCTGATGATCACTTTAGATAAGCTATTACCAGCAGGACAGTGGGGTGGGAGGAGGTATTGTTTCATATTCTCTGTGTATAAATAAAGTCTGCTGCAGTTTCCACGGCATGCATCCGATGAAGTGAGCTGTAGCTCACGAAAGCTCATGCTCAAATAAATTGGTTAGTCTCTAAGGTGCCACAAGTACTCCTTTTCTGTCTGCACTGAGGACACAAGACCAGTGTCCTTCTCTTGTCATCTTCAACAACTTTTCTTCCTTTTGCAGTCCAAAGTGGTGGGCAGCAGGGAGAACAGCACTGACCCACACTCCCCCACAGGCTCTGGTGACAAGTCCCCCCAGGACAACGCTCCTTTCTAACCCCTCAGTGTGGCTTTTTGCACGGCTGTGCACAACTGCAGGAGCCCCACTAGTTCTTCACAACAGCAACAGCGTGCAAATACAGGAAGGGGGCAGTTCCCATTCTGAAGAGAAGTATCCATACATCCATACACAGACATTGCTGCTGGAGTCAAGTAAAATAAAAATGTTTTGTACACAAATATTTTACACTAAAGTTTGTAGATGAAATGTATCACTGTGCTGTCCTTTTGGGAGAGCAGGTAAAATGGAGTTTACTCAGCCTAGTCCAGAAATAGCATTTCTGGTGCCAAACACGTGCATTTCTCACTCAGTGATAAGCTATTTGAGTAGGCAAGATTGGGTGGGACGAGCAAATATGGAAGAAGCCAACTGCATGGGAAACACAAATCTTCAATTTCTGGCAGCAGCCCTCTGTTCTAAATTATCTATGAAGAGAAGTAGTTCCCAGTCTCCCATCACTGCTCTCTCCCACTACCATAGAGGAGCAGGGCCTGAGAGGCATTGAAAATCTTCTCTCTCATTAAGATGGGAATGGGGTAAACAGTCATTTTCTCTGGGCTCCCAAAAAGGAAATAACTGCCTAGTTGTTACACTAATGCTCTAGCTTTAACAGAACTAAAATCTTTATTTTTAAATGCAATGAACTTCAAAAATAAAAGCTAAGTGAGAGAGCTTTAGCATCATATAGGGAAATAATACCTTGGACGCTGAAGTTGAATCGCAAGCCTTACATCACCTTATGCTTTATTTGTTTTATAATCTTTTTATATAGAGAGAAATGTGAGGGTTACAAAGTTGGGGTTGGAGCACTGGAGTTTTGCATCATACAATAGTAGCAGCATGCCTATGTGCCAGTTATTGTGTTCATTTCATTGGTGCACTCTGTTGCCTGAGTGTATAAAACTTGCTTCTCTGTTCTTGGGTGTATGCCTTCATCGTCCTTTAAGGAAGAAGCTCTGAAGGCAGCTAGCAGTGTGGCCAGATTAGAAAAGGACAAAACTCTGTCTCTAGCAATGTGGGCACTGTACTGGAGAATCCTGTCTCTACCCTGCTATTGTATAGGTGGTTCAGTTTGGAGGGTCCTAAATCTGATGGTACATTCTCTTGGCTAATATCTCCACCCATAATCTTTGTTTACAGTACTTGCAGAGAATCCTGGAGACTAACTTATTGCTCAAGCGTCTGGATGTTTTGCTATTCTGCTGTCCGACACTATCACTCAGGAGCCGTAGAATGAAAGGTTACCCAATGGTGGCCTGATCTTATTCTAGGCAAAGGTGCCTCCGCATAAAAACCTAGAGTGAGCAATTCTGTGCCTTAGAGGCTAAGTGGGACTTACTCAGGTCTTTAGGTTTGCTTACATACATATCAAATTCGTTTCTGTGGTTTGAGTTCCTCTCGGATAAGTTTTTTTTTTTTTGCCCTTTAGAGAAGCAAGTTTTGACATTTTAATCTGCTGATCATAAACCTCAATAACCACGCTTGTTCCCCCATTTTGCAGGTGTTTGGGGGAAGCATACTATGAAAAATTAGAAGGCAGATGTGATAGGAAATAGGTGGAGTGTAGAGTGTCATTTACCAGGTTTTATTGTTTGTGGCTGAAATTACCCGCAATGTGGGGAAAACAGTGTCAGTTAAATGGGGGACTGCTGGAGCTTAAATATTGAACTGTTTCTCTCTACAGGTGAATGTTGGGGAAATTTGTCAATAAAGCTTTCCATTGGGAAACAAATTACGTGAATTTTTGGTCCTGAATTTATACTTAGAAATCTAAATGAGTAAGTGCAAAGGTTACGAACCCATCAAGGGCAATATCCAACTAGCAGAGTAATTTTGGGAGGGAGGCCTAAACTGGTGACTTCTGTGTAATGTACGTCATTCTGGCCTCTAGAAGCCTCTGCCTGTGGTATGCTTCAGCTGATGAACTGGTACTTCCAGTCTAGTACTTCCCTATAACAGCCACTAGCAAACATCAGTTGATACATACGGTGAACTTTTTGTGCAAAACTGACCAAAGGAGGTAATGGAACTTGCATGCAGCTTCAAAATGGGAGGAGCTGGCCCCTGTCAAGAGGAGAGATTGGAACCAAAAGGAACTTGGTGGAATGAGGGTATGAGCTGACAATTTCGTTTTGCAATGAATCAGCAGAAAAGAGCTCAGTACATCATATCGTCTGAGGCACAGAGCAGAACATACTTTCTACCAAAGCAAAGTAGGTACCAAAGCAAAGTAGGTACCAAAGCAGGAAAAACCAGTCTAGTACAGTGGTTCCCAAACGTTAACAGGCCACGAACCCCTTTCACTAAATTGTGAAATCTCATGAAACCCCTCCTAAAAATGAATATTTCCAGGGATTTAAGTTTAAATTTCCTCCGCACTCCGTGGGGCTTCTGCTGCTGGACCCCGTTGACCGCTCCAGTCAACTGAGCTTGGGCTACAGGTCCCGCTGACTGCCGGGGTTCAGGCTGCCAGCCCCAACTGCCCGGCCCTGCTCTCCCTGGGGCTCGGGCTGCCAGCCCCGTGCAGAGCACTGGGGTTCAGGCGGCTGGCTCCCCCGCTGACGGAGGAGCTCAGGCTGCCAGCCCCAACTGCCTGGCCCCAGTCAGCCGGGGGCTCAGGCTGCCAGTCTTGTGTGGAGCGCTAGGGTTCAGGCAGCTGGCTCCCCTGCGGATGGAGGGGCTCGGGCTGCCAGCGCCAACTGCCCTGCTTCGCTCTCCCTGGGGCTCGGGCTGTCTGCCCTGCAACCAGGTCCCACCTGCTGCCTCCAATGCCCGGGGTCCTCTGGCTGCCATGAGTGAAATTTTTCTGGCGAACCCCCTGTAACGTTGTGCGAACCCCAGTTTGCGAACCACTCTTCTCGTACAACTCCCTTGGGAAACCTTGGGCCTAGTTTTGAGAAGGGAAAAGATGCAGGAGCATTGCAGGATGCTAGTGCTGCATTAAAAATAACGTATGTGTAAATGATCAATGCCTGTCTACTTTTCCTGACTACTGTACCCCTTTCAGGAGTCTGATTTCTTGCATACCCCCATGTTTCACCTCACCTGAAAATTATTTGCTTAGAAAATCAGACCTAAAAATACAAAAGTGTCACAGCACCCTGTTACTGGAAAATTGCTGACTTTCTCATTTTCCCGTACGATTATAAAATGAATCAATTGCACTTACATTTTTTCAGTGTCTAGTATGTAGAGCCGTATAAACAAGTCATTGTATGACATTTTATTTTGTACTGACTTCGCTAGTGCTTTTTATGTAGCCTGTTATAAAACTAGGCAAATATCTAGATGAGTTGATGTACCCCCTGGGAGACTTCTGCGTCCCTCTGGTTGAGAGCCACAGCTGTAGGCGATGCTGGCAAGTGGTTAAAAAGCTGTAGGCCAAAAAGTGACTGAGGGGAGTGAGCCCCAGGTTAGTTCTTCAGAAAAGTCAGGTCACTCTCATACCCTTGCAGACTGCCTTCAGTTGTACGTGGGCATTTTTTCATTCCCTCTGGGAATAGTTTAGAAAAGGGCGGGAGGTGTTGTTTTTTAAACTTCTTCTTGTTCTCGCCACTGGAATGAGCCAGAGTAACCAAAGTTAACCTGCTGTGTACCCCACCGCCTAAAAAGCCCCTCATTTTAATTCTTAAACAGCAAGGTCTTGAATGAAAACATTCCGTGCCAGTGGGCTGCTCGGGCTGTGGTGCTGTCATTGCATGGGGAGTGTCAGTTCTTTCCCATCCTAGCCATTGATTCATCATTGCTTCCATCTCATTGATCTGCTTGTATTGGGAATTTATCTCAAATACATCACTCTGCTAGAAATGTATGCGAAAGATTAATTGAACTTGACTGTAAGCTTCCTTCCAGTTATTCCTCCTCAACCTTATTTTTGGCTTCTGTCCCATATTTGAGCTTTGGTGGCAGCAGCAGCAACAATTCTGGAAGCTCTTCAAGCCAGAGAAACTTGGAATATGGAAAAGCAGCAGCTGAAACACTGGCTTAAATTTTTAGCATGATAATCCTGGAAAATAGCTTCTTGGAAACTGTGTTGACAGTCATGTGTGACTAAAGCAGTGCAAGGAAAAGGGAAATTCTGACTCTGATTAGTCTGGAACTGCTCCAAAGGCTGCACAACATTTGGAGAAGGATGAATATGGAGTAGACATATGTTTCAGGGAAAGACAGCAGAGCTCTGTGACCTCATAGGGAAATATTTTCTCCTTTCAGAGGGCAGCCAGGTGGCTGAACTGGAGACTTCCACTGGCCGACCACAAAAGCTATTTGGTTTTATTCATATTTGCTGCCTCACTTCCAAACATGAGGCCATAGTCTATCATGATCCGGTCATGCAGCTCCCAGTGCCATCCACATGAGTTGTGAGCAACAATCATAGGCATAATATTGTTGAAAGCACTTCACTCCGCAGATGCTGGATTCTTTTGTGGCGTAGAAAAGGTGGGTGGAGGGGAGAGCCAGAGCACCAACTCAGTTTTCAATTTAATTAAACTGTGGCTTGACCAGCTTCACATAGGGTAAAAGAATAAGAACATCAGCCCCGTGTTGTCAGATGTGGTTATGACCTGCCCAGGATGGATACACTGGATTTGGGGTTTGATCCTGTCTGTCTGTCACGACTGCTTATATTTGATCGGGTAGTCCGTTGGTACATAATATAGTGCCATCTCCTTTCTCCCAGGGTCAAGCAGAGCTTTTCCCATTGCTCTTCAATGTCTCTCTGAATTGGTGGTAATTTGAGGAAATATTGTGTACTCCCTTGTATTTTGGACACTGCAGTAGAAAGAGCCTCTCTGTTGCAGTAGGTGCATAGTCTGATGCATCTCTTTTCAGCTGGTCCCATGAGAGGAGGGCAATGGCTCTCCTCCGTGAACAGGATTTGGCCTATTGGCTCCAGTTCTCCATATCCCCACCTAGCCATGAACTATCAATATATCTTCCTCATCCACGGTCAGGCAGAGAACTTGTCAGTCCCTGGCACATCTCCTTGCAGGCTGAGCAATAAGGGAAGAATGTTTGCTTTTCCACAGCTGTTAACTCAAGGATTACAGTTGAAGACATTTTATGGCAAGGCTGGACTGTCAGGGTGAGGGCAGGAGGCAGGTTCCAAGCAGAAAGTACAGACCCCCAGACAGCTGCTGTAGGTGCTAGCACTGATGGGAGAAGAGATTTGTGTTTGTAAATACCTCTATCAAAGGATCTTAAAGTGCTTTACAAACACTAATAAACTGTCTGATTACAGCTGTCATTAGGAAATTTGTCCTCTTTTTGCAGAAGAGGAAATGGGAGTGAGGGCCACATCTTTAAAGGTATTTAGGCACCTGACTCCCATTGATTTCAATGTGAGTTATGCACCTAATTGCCTTTTAAAACTCTGGCCCTGAACGGTTAAGTACAATACCCAAGACCACATACGTATACCCTGTTACCATTACAGTGCTAGCTGCATCTTTGCCCCCTTTCTGGTCGGTGTGCACCCTCCACTCAGTTGGCAGGCCTCAAATCTAAATGCCCTGGGGTGGAAATCTGCATTTCTCCTACTTTTAGACCAGGCCCTCGGCTACCATACCCTGTGTTCTAACTTTGCTTTCCTAATAGGTCTGACTGGGTGTGGTACCTGTAGTGCTTTCTTGTGCCAGTCTGTGACCAGTGGTATTCAGTGACAAAACAGTCGTCTTAAAGCCAAAATACTGTTTTAACAGTAGGAACAAAGCATTTAGAAGATTTTAGAACACAAACTCCACACGTCTATCTTACATTATGGCATGTCACCCACTGATGGCAGCCAAGACGTCCTGCCCCCGTAAGGACCTGTCAGTCTGGTCTGACAACTCTCTGCTCTCTCCCTTTTAATCCAACCAGAGCTCCTCTGTTCTTGTGACTTCGGGCGTTGGCCCCAGTCACCCAAACCAGTTCTGTAAATTAGCTGGAACTAGGCAGTAGAATCTTCAAAGCTAATTCAGGCCTTTGTCTCTTATCAACCATTAACCATCAACCATTTTCTGAGGAGTGGCTTATTTTGAGCCATTGTTCCCTTTTCCCTCCCTGACAACTCCTTTATTAATCTAAATCAATATATTCATACAGCAAACATCCCAATAATCAGGTCACCATACAGTATTCATAAATTATTACAGAGCATCATCACTTCTTTCAGAATCTTCTCCTTCCCATTCCTCTGGTTTTTTTTTTAAACCTGATTATTTTTCCTCGTTGCTCTGAATTTATAAGATCTGTATTCCCAGCACTGCTTGTCAGATTCTGGGGCTAATGTTACCAGGTTCGATGCCTTTTACTTAATATTGACATTTCCTCCTACACTGGTGCTGTTGACTGTGCAGCAGTTAGCCTGCATCTTGGACCCCCTTCCACTGCTGAGAAGGTTCTTCTTTCACAGCAGTTGGTAAATTTTTTTCATTGCATCACTTCACTGTTGCAAGGAAGATGTTGTTCATGATGCAAAACTCTGGGACCCAACCTAATGTGTAGTATTTCTGAAGCACCTACCATTGGGGCATTAATGCAGTGGTATCTATTTACTGTGTGCCCCTGGTCAGGAGTCATGATCTTGGGCCTCCATCAGTGCAGCTAGAAAAGCAGACAAGGTTACAGTCGTTGGATGGAAAATATTTTTGCTCCACACCGCTGCGAAGATCAACCACTCATATAACAAAGATGGATCAAAGATTCATCTCAACCAGGAGAAGTAGGTACTTCATAAAAATAATAATACAGTTGCAGTGTCTGAACTGAGCTTTCGTAGAGAAGTAACTCAGGAGAGCAAGGCTTGGCTTCTTCCCTGTACCAGTATGAAAATTCATAATGTCAAAATGGAGATTCCTAGAACCAGGAATTACAACACGCATCCACCAAGGGCTGCAGAGATGGGAAACGGAAAAGTGAACCATCAAACTAGGGTATGGCGGGATTTCAATGGAGCTGATTTGTAACTTCAGTTTTTCTGTTTTCAATAAATCCTCCCCACCCTGAAAATATTTGTAGTAATTGAAACACGGGGACATTAGTAATTTATATATAAACTCCACCAAATATTGCAACGGTCCCAATTAAGCAAAACGCAGACCAAGAGATCTGATTTTTCTTTTAATTTTCAAGTGCGAAGTCTTCTGCAGTCATAAGAGATGATAAAAGGTATCTAGGCCCTTACCCTCAACATGGTGTTCAGTTTTGAAGGACCAGAGAGAGGCACAAAAAATGATTTGGAGACATCAATGAGAAATGTCTATTAAAGGGTGGAAAATAAATAAATAACCCTTACTAGTCTGGTTAGGTGAGTAAAGGGGGATACGACTGTTGTATATAAAATAGTGAAGGTTACAAAGGCAGTGCTTCTCCTGTTTGTCTGATCCCAGGTGCTGAAATTAAAAGGCAACAAATTCCAAGCAGCTGAAAGGAACTACTTTTTACATAACATGCAATTAAGTTGTGGAATTTACTACTCCATGCTAATGTTAAAGCAAATATTGTTTGAAAAAATAATTTGATATAAATTATAGCAACTCTATTTTAGACTAGGGAGAACAAAATTACAAAGGCTTCACTCTGAAAAAATGGATCAACAATGGGAGCAAGGATGAAATTAGAACTTTTAGAGCGTAAGCAATTTGGAGTAGGATCATATCTTTGTTTGTACAAGTTTTGTTTTCCCTAATGCACTGGGGAACTGATTCTTTCTGAGTCTCTGGATGCTATAGGAACAGAAACATCACTGAATAATAATGAAGTATCTTCCATTCAGGAGCAGGCCACAGTTGGAGACAGGATGGACCATGTATCTGTCCCAGCATGTGATCAATTCAAGGAATACTAATAAGTGTGTATATGTCTTTCTTCACCTGTTTGGGGCACTATAAGGTGACAAAGTAGCTCAATTTTGCTTGGTGGCTCTTCAGTGCATACCAAGATAATGGGCATGTGCCCACTGATGTATTGAATGAATGGCACTACTGCAGTATAACAGGATTCAGCCTGATTGTTCTGTTAGTAAATGCATTATAATTTATTCCTTTAAAAATGTGGGTCAGAGTAGTCAAATGGGAAAAGGCCTGTTAGAACTGTGAAAGGCCAGAAGCTGTGCTAATGCATATAATGTGGAGATCTCACAAGGCCCAGATATCAGAGAATCAAAGATATATAGCATTTGAAGGGACCTCAAGAGGTCACCTTGTCAAGACCCGTGCGCTGGGCAGGACCAAGTAAACCTAGACCATTCCTGACAGTTATTTGTCCAACCTGTTCTTAAAAATCACTGGTGGGGGACGCCACGAGCTACCTGGAAGCTTATTCCAGAGCCTAACTATCCTTATAGTTAGAAAGTATTCCCCTATTTCTAACTATGGCGCACAGAACGGGACACAGGACTCCAGCAGAGGCTTAACAATGCCTAGTAGAGTGGGACAGGTACCTGCCATGTCTTACATACGGCCCTCCTTTAACACATGCCAGAATATTAGCCTTTTTAGCAACTGCATTACAGTGTTGGGCTCATGTTCAATTTGTGCTCTCCTACAGCCCCATCTCCTTTTCAGCAGTATGGCTGCCTAGCCAATTATTCCCCAGTTTGTGTTTGTGCATTTGATTTTTCCTTCCTAACTGTAGTATTTTGCACCTGTGCACTTGTCTTAATTGACCTCTTAAGGGGTAATAAAGGGCAAACTGGAACTGAATGTGAAAGGTGTTGGTGCAAGTGAAACCCTTTGATCCTTAGGTTTTGAAAGATTACTCAATTCTGCAGGGCTTTTGTTTGAGACCCGGTGCTGTAACCCAGCTATGCAGTGCTTAATGAAACATTGGAAAGGTTATCCAGGGCTCCCTGCTTAAACAATGGTGGACTCATGTCATAAATATAAAGGGAAGGGTAAACACCTTTAAAATCCCTCCTGGCCAGAGGAAAAACCCTTTCACCTGTAAAGGGTTAAGAAGCTAGGATAACCTCGCTGGCACCTGACCAAAATGACCAATGAGGAGACAAGATACTTTCAAAGCTGGGGGGGAGAAACAAATGGTCTCCCTGTCTGTGTGATGCTTTTGCCGGGAACAGAAAAGGAATGGAGTCTTAGAACTTAGTAAGTAATCTAGCTAGATATGTGTTAGATTCTGTTTTGTTTAATTGGCTGATAAAATAAGGTTTCAGAGTAGCAGCTGTGTTAGTCTGTATTTGCAAAAAGAAAAGGAGTACTTGTGGCACCTTAGAGACTAACAAATTTATTTGAGCATAAGCTTTCGTCCGATGAAGTGAGCTGTAGCTCACGAAAGCTTATGCTCAAATAAATTTGTTAGTCTCTAAGCTGCCACAAGTACTCCTTTTCTTTTTTTGATAAAATAAGCTGTGCTGAATGGAATGTATATTCCTGTTTTTGTGTCTTTTTGTAACGTAAGGGTTTGCCTAGAGGGATTCTCTATGTTTTGAATCTGATTACCCTGTAAGGTATTTACCATCCTGATTTTACAGAGGTGATTTTTTTTTACTTCAATTAAAATTCTTCTTTTAAGAACCTGATAGCTTTTTCATTGTTCTTAAGATCCAAGGATTTGGGTCTTTGTTCACCGATGCAAATTGGTGAGCATTTTTATCAAGCCTTCCCCAGGAAAGGGGGTGTAGGGTTTGGGAGGATTTTGGGGGGAAAGACGTTTCCAAACAGGCTCTTTCCCTGTTATATATTTGTTAGACGCTTGGTGGTGGCAGCAATAAAGTCCAAGGGCAAAAAGGTAAAATAATTTGTACCTTGGGGAAGTTTTAACCTAAGCTGGTAAAAATAAGCTGAGGGGGTTTTCATGCAGATCCCCACATCTGTACCCTAGAGATCAGTGGGGAAGGAACCTTGACAACTCATATTTCCAAATGCATAAGCTTGAAGGGAGTTCACAAGTTCAGCATACTACATGGACAATGATATCACCACCAGGAGAATAAACAGAAGAATCCTGGAAATTTAAGCTACTGGGAAAAACACCCAGACTTTGAGCCTGTGTGTGTGTGTGTGTTTAAAAAAAAAAAAATGAAAGTCATGCATGTCTGTGCTATAGCTGCCATCTTTTCATCTTACCATTCCAGTAATTTTAAATAAAATACATACCACAAATTGACAGTCATGATTAAAGGTTGGTTACAGTAAAAAAGGATGCTTTTAAAGATACCTTAAAATATGGCTTAGAATTAGCTGCATTTATTTTTGTGCGCTAAATGCCCAAATGCCAAAAAAGTAAGGCAGATGCTTGAGAAATAACTAACTTTAAATGTCTCTGGGTGACTTAAAATACAAACCAAACCAACCTGTCAATCAGCTCTACTCTAATGCTCTGACGTGAGCTATCAGGGAGCCCTAGTGGAGCATGGATGTGGCCTCAGAGAGATCAGATACACACTTTTTTTAGCATCCAAAGTGATTTTGCAAGAAACATAGATCTGCTGTGATATAGAATAGTAAATAAAGCATATTCCAGTAAAAAAAGTCTTCACTTTACCTGCTCCTCTACTGTGTTCTCCATCTGAACTCCATATGACATTGGTATATGGTGAATGCTGGGCCATTAAAGCAGACTTAAATGGAACCAGTTGGTGTGATTTTGGGAGGCTTGAGAGTGATATGTATATATGTCACTGGTGCCACATCCTCCATCAGGCAGTGGCCCACTTTGAGGAGAAGCGTCTTGCCCTTAAAGCTGAAAAGAGAGAGAAGGAAGGAAAAAGAAAGAATTTCTCCCAGCAGGCAGCTGACCCATCAGGAAATATCTGTATCTACTGTGGGCAGATCTGTGGTTCCAGGATCAGACTCCTGAGTCATCTCAGACCCATATGTAAATCTGTGGTAGAGATCATCCTCGAATTGAGGGATCGCCGATGATATATTTCACTGATCTCTTTTCTCAAAACTGTCTGAATCACTTTTGCTCAAACTTAAAAAAATGAAATCCCTGCTGAGGCAGAGAGAAAGCATGCAATATTAGTTCCAAACAGTTAAAGTTTGTCAAAGTTGAGACCAAGAACTTAGCAAGACTCAGAATGGGGCTGGACATTTATATGGATCACAAGAATATCTAGAGCTCTTATAAATTATGCTAACAAAAATTCTGGAAGGGATATTAATCTTTGTGGTTCGGGGCTTAAACCAATCTCTATTAGAGATTAAGATGAGATCAATGTGGGGGTCTGATTATCCCACATCAGCTACCGCAGACTTCTTACACCTTCCTCTGAAGCATCAGGTGTTGGCAGCTGTCAGAGACAGGATTCTGGATGTGATGGCCCTGGGGTCTGATCCGGTCTGGCAATTCCTATGTTCCCATGCTATAAGTAAGGCTGTATGTCTGTTACAGAGGTCATGGAAGTCGCAGATTCCGTGACTTTCCGTGATCTTCATGACTTCCGCAGTGGGCAGCAGGAGCAGCAGCAGTTTGGGTGTGTGGGAGGGGGCTCATGGCTAGGGGCAGGGGGTTTGGGTGTGGGGCAGTGCTTATCTGGGGGGCTCCCTAGCTCCCACCAGCATGTCCCTGCAGCTCCTAGGCCAGGGGTGGGCAAACTATGGCCCACAGCCCACATCTGGCCTGTCAGACCATTTAATCTGGCCCTCAGCTCCAGCTGGGGAGCAGGGTCGGGAGCTTGCCCCACTCCACGTGGCTCCCAGGAAGAAGACAGCATGACCCCCCTCCGGCTCCTACGTAGTACACGGAGGTGTGGCCAGTCAGCTCGCTGCGCTGTCCTGTCCTCAGGTACTGCCCCTGCGGCTCCCATTGGTCGCGATTCCCAGCCAATGGGAGCTGCAGGGGTGGTGCCTGTGGACCAGGAAGGGCCGCAGAGCCACCTGGCCGTGCCTTGAAGCTGGAGTGGGGATATGCTTCTGGGAGCTGCCTGTGCTAAGCGCCACCAGGAGCCTGCACCCCTGAGGCCCCCTCCCGCACCCCAATCCCCTCTCGCCCTCCAAACCTCTCGATCCCAGCCCAGAGCTCCCTCTTGTACCCCAAGCCCCTCATCCCCAGCCCACCACAGAGCCCGCACTCCCGCACCCCAACCCGGAGCCCCCTCCCGCACCCTGAACTCATTTTTGGCCCAACCCCAGAGCCCTCAACCCCTCCTGCATCCTTACCCCCAATTTCGTGAGCATTCATGGCTTCCATACCCCAGTGTGGCCCTCAGGCCAAAAAGTTTTCCCACCCCTGTCCGAGGCAGAGGGGCCAGGGGTCTCTATGCGCCTACCTGTGCCTGCAGGCCCCACCCCCACAGCAGGGTGAGTGCAGAATGAGGGGGAGGGGATGTGATGCAGGGACAGAAGAGGCTGAAGTGGGGGACATGGGACAAAATGGGGGCAGAAGCTGAAAAAGGACAGGGCAGAATGGGGAACAAGGGAGACAGCCCAAAACTCCTGCTGCCCCATCAATCTCACCCTGGCCTGCCCACGCAGGGTGATGCCCCCTGGCTTTACCTCCCAGCAAATCCTACCCTCTTTCTGCCAGGCACTGACTCCCTTCTGTGCCTGGCTGTCCCAGCACCACAGCTGCTCCTGATTGCAGCTTAGCCCCACTTGCTTCTGGGGAGGCGTCAGAGGAAAGGCTCCTGCCATCCCTCTCACCTTCTGTTTGGCTGGGGATGGTGGCGTTGGTGACTTTTTCATTGCTGAGAAATGTCATGCATGGAACTGCGGAGAAATAGATCAAATGACTACTATCAGTAACATGCTGGGCATTTTTAATATGTAAGTCTGAGGCTGGAGGATCCGACAATAGTTGAAAGAAGGGTGCTGCTCTGTGGAGCACTCAGTGTATCATAATACCTTTCACTTATTTAAAAATACCGCATTGACATATTTCAGAGTAGCAGCTGTGTTAGTCTGTATTCGCAAAAAGAAGAGGAGGACTTGTGGCACCTTATAGACTAACCAATTTAGTTGAGCATAAGCTTTTGGGAGCTACAGCTCACTTCATCAGATGAATGCACTGGATGAAGTGAGCTGTGCATCCGATGAAGTGAGCTGTAGCTCATGAAAGCTTATGCTCAAATAAATTGGTTAGTCGCTAAGGTGCCACAAGTCCTCCTTTTCTTTTTGCATTGATATAGCAGATGAAATGCAGGCTAAGCATTCACTTTGCTATGTTGTGTTGCAGTCAGACCCAGCTATTACAGAGAGGAGGTGGGTGAGGTCATCTCTTTTATTTGCCCAACTTCTGTTGGTGCAAGAGAGAAGCTTTGGGGCTTACACAGAGCCTTTCTTCAGGGCCTGCTCCAAAGCTTGTCTCTCTCACCAACAGACACTGCACCAGTCAAAGGTATGACCTCACCCACTTTCTCTCCAATGGTGTACTGACAATGAAAATGAAAGTGAAACACTGATAGCAAGTTAAGGCTGTGTGAAGAACCTTCCCCAACGCTCCCTGGTGGTCTAGTGGTTAGGATTCGGCGCTCTCACCGCCGCGGCCCGGGTTCGATTCCCGGTCAGGGAAGGTGCTTTCTTTTTAAGGGTCCCCTCTACGCTTCCTCCTTCAAAAACCCTCATCGGCCGCGCTGATTTGCCTCCTTGCCCCACGCAGCTTTACCCCCGCCCTTAGCTTCCGCGGCAGCGCTTCCCAGGGGCGCCTCCGGCCTTCGCTACCAGCCGGGCGGGACGGGGGCTCACCGGAGCGATGGGCAGGGACGGGACGGGCCAGCGGCGAAACCGGCTCCCCGGTTCCGCAACGCCGCCCGGACGAAGAGCAGCCGCCCGCCCCCGCGCTGGTCCCGGTCCCGGTCCCCGGCTGTTTCCCCGCAGGGACACGCCGCCCCACAGAGCGGAGCCCGCCCCTCGCGCGCGCGCGCGCACGGCTCCCCTCCGGCGCGCGCCCCCGCCCCCTGGCGTACCCCCCCCTCCCCCTTCCCTGCCCCGCTGGGATGTGGCGCGCTCGTCTCCGCGGAACTGGGAGGGCGCGCGCGCGCACGCGTGTGTGTGTGTGTGTGAGCGCGCACGCAGCCTCCCTCTGCCCTGCTCCTCCCCCCCTTCGCTCCGTGTCGCCGGGTCCCGCTCGCCTGTGTCGCTTGGCGGCGGCTGGGGCTGCTGAGGAGACGCCGCCGGAGCCCGGGCCGGCCTGTGAGGAGGAGCCGCCGCCGCCCCGCACCTCCCCCCCGCAACCACCCGCGGGGGAGTCGAGAGCCGCCCCTCCCCCCGCCCGGCGACACCCCCCTCCCTGGAGCTGCGCACCCGCCGGCCCGCTGCGGAGGACGCAGGTAAATGAGGGGGGAGCGGGGTCCGTTCGCCCCGCCTGCCCCCCCCCCCAACCGGTCTGTGGCGCCTCAGAGCCTCGTACGCACCCAGGGCCGGCTGGGCGGCTGGAGGCCAAGATGGAGCTGATGCTGCTGAGGGGGAGGGTCTGACGCTGCAGCACATCGGGGGGCGGGGGGGGGGCGTGAGGAGAGCGGCGGGGGGAGAGGGATGGCGGGGCGGGGGGGGGGGGGGAGAGGGAATGGTGGGGGGGGGAGGGGGGCAGGGGGAGGGGGTGGGTGGGGGGGAGAGGGGGGGCGGGGGAGGGGGCGGGGGAGAGGGAGAGGGAGAGGGAATGGCGGGGCGGGGGGGATAGAATAGGGGACCTCATCAGAAAGCGGAATATCCCTCATCCCACCCCCAGTTGCCACCCCCTTTGCTTTCTGCTGCGTTTTGGATCATGAAACAGAGACTGTTAAACATTAGCTGTCTTTGTACTGGGGGGGGGGGGGGATTAGCTGTTGAGGGGCAATATGTGTGTATGGGGACAAGGGATTATCTCAATTTGTCATAAATGCCACATAGCTACGGAACCTGTTCATAATAAGGTATTAAAAATTATGGACATTGTGTTTTCCCTGGGAACCTCTTGCTGGGGGCGGGGGGCGGGCGGGGGGGGATGAAGAAAGCCCAGCTTCCCCTTCCCTCCTCCCACTCCTGCATACCTGGTACCAGGGGGACTTGCAGTGTTTTTGTGTGCTTGTGTTCTCTGTCTTTGGACTTCAAAATGACAATAAAAAGTCCTCAAAGACTATATAAATAATAACTTTGGATTTAGGGCTTGTGTTAACTGAGACTCCTAATGACAAATGGCAGCTCGGGATTTCAGATGTTGTCTCCCCCTATGTTGCTGCTTGGGATTTTTATAATTAGTGGCTGCTCAGAGTATTACACACTTGAGTTTTGTTAAATGATGCGTTTAGAACCAACGGGAAACCTAGTTTTTGAAACAGGAATTTGGAGAGAAGGGAGAACTGATTTATTTTGTGCTGCTTTTTGTGATGCTTTAATGAAGACAATTTGATTCCAATGGTATTCTGTCTGGATGTAACAATGTGGATGGGGTAGTCAGTTTACTAACATACTTCGGTTTTTTGCTTATGCTTTATCTAGATCTTGCAATTGTATGCATAGTAACACAAGGCAATTGGTTTATTACTGGCGTATAATATAGAGATGGAGCCATTTCTCCCTCAGAGAGAAAGGTGAAAGCCATCCATGCGTGATGCTGCTGCTGTGTGACACACAAGGAGATTTTCAGCTTTTGCTTGCATTTGATTCAGTGAAGCATCAGTCTGCAGAGTGTGCAGAAAGTCATTGCTATGGGTTTGTCTGTATGTATTTAATGCTCTCTCTGAGGTTGTAATCTGTAATAAAATGTGTATGTAAGTGTGAATGACAAATTCAAAAGATCTTCTTGGAGAAATACAAAGATGAGCATGAATTTATAGCATATATCTGTCTCTTCAGTCGATGGTGTTTTATTACGACAGTTTCTTTTGGGAAAAGAAAAAGTGAAATTATAGTATATCTGACATTTATTATAATCTGCTACCATTGAAGCTAAAACTTTTAGGTTGAAGCCAACTTAGTGGTTGGCTTTGGCAACATTTTAGCCATCTCATTGGGTATATTAAGCTATGATAAGCGTGCAAATCTAAAAAGAGCCAAGGGTTTTTTATTTCATGTGAAGTGCACTGAGGCAGGTCAAATGGCTGTCGGATATTGTCAGTTGTGCATAAGAAGCATTTGTTTCAGATTTGTTAAGCAACGGAGAAATTCAGTTAAACTGTAAGAACAAGCTCATGTTTTAATATCGACCATTCAAACTGCCCAGGGTCATTGTGTACATATATTTTGTTGTTAGAAGTGGCCTGGTCTTAGACAGAGTAGCTAGTGCTGGCGGATAGATACCGGTGATGCTGATGAGTGGGTTCTGTAAGAATTATAACTGTGCTGCTTTTCTTAATGCAAAGCTGGATTTGGGAAGAAATCATAACTAAGACACAGAAGGTAGAATTAACATTAAAGCAGTGTAGGGAAACTTGTGCTACCGATGTCCATGGTGTATTTGTTCTGTGGATAAGTCGGTCTTTGGGCTTCAGGATTGTTGATCTAGCTCCTTTTTATGAGCACTAAGTAAATAAATATCCTCCCCTTCCTTGCGTATTTCATCTTACTGTTAAAGGTAAGCACAATCTGAGCAAAAGACTGTTTATGGCGGTGGTGGTGAAGAGAATAAAACTACATGTTGTAGATGAGTCACTTTAGTCTGACACCATTTATTTTCTGCTCCATGTTTTTGATACATCATATTGGCAAGTCCTAGGTAATAGTGTCTAAGTACCTTGATGCCCCACACAGGGGTGACCTAAATGCATGGTGTATGTATGCTCTGTAGTTTAATATATGTGTTTTATCAATGTGTGCTTGAAAGAAACAGCAAGAGACAAAACACACTTTACTAGGTCATTAACACATGCCTTGGCTGTGCAGGGGTCGGAAGGCCTTTCAAAAGAATATGACTAATCAGTGCATCTCCTGCAGTCTTTCATAGTTAAAATACCAAGAAACCTATATTTTGATAAGTTAATGCACTTGAGCTACAAAAATAAAGTACAGTAATTGGGGTAATTTCACTGAGTTTGTAAATGAGATGGTGAGGCTGTCATACCAGAGCATTCACTGAGGATTCATCACCCAAAGATGATTAGCAGCCAGGCAGATAGTTGCTCTGGACAACTGATAATCAGAGAGAGAATGAAATTCTTATTGAATGGGGCCAAGATTTTATTCCTGTATCTGTATTTAAAGCATTTATAAAGTCATCAGTGGGAGTTATTGAGTGCTTAGTACTTTGGAAAATTAGGGAGGTACCAAAAATATGATTTTGGGGATCCTAGCTTAAGGTTTCTAGTTTTGAAAATCTTGACCTAGTTGAATTATTGCAGTTTAACCTGTTCGGCAGATAGTATTTCTGATAATTGATGCTTGTGCCTTTGATCATCATACTTGCTTTCTTTGTAAACTTCAAATATAGGTAACAAAAATTGTAGCATCATAGAAACGTAGGGCGGGTCATATAATGAGAGGTCATCTATTCCAGACCTGTGCGCTGAGGCAGGACCAAGTAAACCTAGACCATCCCTGACAGTTGTTTGTCCAACCTGTTCTTAAAACCCTCCAGTAACAGGGATTCCACAATCTCCCTTGCAAGTCTATTCCAGTGCATAACTGTCCTTATAGTTAGAAAGTTTTTCCTGATATCTAATTTAAATCTCCCTTGCTGTGGATTAAGCCATTACTTCTTGTCCTGCATTCAGTGCACAAGGAGAACAGTTGATCCCCATTCTCTTTATAATATCCTTTAACATATTTGAAGACTCTAATCAGGTGCCCCCTCTGTCTTCTTTTATCAAGACGGAACCTGCCCAATTTTTTAAAAACTTTCCTCATTGGTCAGGTTTTCTAAACTTTTATCATTTTTATTTCTCTCCTCTGGACTTCCCAGTTTGTCCACATCTTTCCAAAAGTGTGGCACGCACAGTGGGACACAGTACTCCAGCTGAAGCCTCGCCTATGCTAAACAGGGTGGGACAGTTATTTCCTGTGTCTTACGTACCACACCCTGGTTAATACATCCCAGAACGATATTAAACTTTTTTGCAACTGCGTGAACATTGACTCATATAATTTGTGATCCACTATAACCCCCTCATTTTGTTCAGAATATTACTGCCTAGCCAGTGATTCCCCATTTTGTATTTGTGCATTTGTTTTTTTCCTGTCTGAATGTTGTACTTTGCATGTGTCTTGATTGAATTTCATCTTGTTAATTTTAGACCAATTCCACAATTTGTTGAGGTTGTTTTGAATTCTAATCCTGTCATTCAAAGTGCTTGTGACCCCTCCTAACTTGGTGTCATTTTTCAGATTTTATAAGCATACTCTTCACTCCATCATCCAAGCCATTAATGAAAATATTCAATAGTACTGAACCCCTGCATGATCCCACTAGATACGTCCTTGGTTTGACAGCGAACCATTGATAACTGCTTTTTGAGTATGGTCTTTCAACCAGTTACACACCCACCATATAGTAATTTCATATAGACCACATTTCCCTAGTTTGCTTATGAGAAAGTCATGTGAGACTGTGTCAAAAGCTGTATTAAATAAAAATATATCATGTTTACAGCCCCCCCGGAGCAGTAACAGTAACAAAGAAAGATATTAGGTTGGTTTGGCATGATTTGTTCTTGACAAGTCATGCTGGCTATTTCTCATAACCCTGTTATCCTCTAGGTCAGTGGTGCCCAAACTTCCCTGTCGTAGAATCTGATTCTATGCTTTCTTTCACATATAGTGCCACTCCCCCACCAGCACGACCTGTTCTGTCCTTCCGATATATTCTGTACCCTGGTATTACTGTGTCCCATTGATTATCCTCATGCCACCAAGTTTCTGTGATGCCTATTATATTAATATCCTCATTTAATACAAGGCACTCTGGTTCGCCCATCTTAGTATTTAGATGTCTAGCACGGATATG